TGCCACTCAGGACTCTGGCTGCTCCTCCTCAGTCTGAAAATGGGACCCCACTGCCAAACTCGTACATCACAGAGCGCTCCAGTTCCTCTGTACTGGACAAACTTAGAGCCAAATGACAGTAACTGAGCCTTGCAATGAGAACTGTGAGCAAATTGTTTGAAAAAATATTCAAAGTAAATTATAAATAGAACAGGGGAGAGACTAAGTCAAACACAGTTTTGCTGAAATTTACATTTGCCCCAAATTATGACTGAATGAAAAGTAGATGCCTTTAAGGAGTGGAGAGGTCAGAACAATACATGATTTGAGATGGAAATATTTCTAAATTTAATTCCAATTGACATGAATGAAAACGAAATTATATCAACTAAATTACAAGTATGTGAAAAGCTACTGAGCGAAAAGTACTGCAAGATACAGCATTTATACATCAGTTCATCTGGGAAATCTGGATTTGACTGTCAAGATAATCCACACAATTGAATCTTTTCTCTCTCTCTCTTTTTTCTTTTACTTTTTTTTGTTCACACAACTGAATCCTAATTTCAAAATACTCATTTTAGGTCTGAGCATTTCATTTATCTGCTTCATCACGATACTAAAATGTGGTGACATTAAAATGATTTGGGCACTTTAAGAGTAAATTACTAAGCCGTGCCTCTATCTGTCAACAACTTCTAGCTTAATCTCTTAGAATTTCAGGTGACACGGCATCTTGACTCAAAGTAAAGCACCTCTCAGGTCTAACTGTTGTTTGCTGGATACAAGATATGCTTTTAGGCTGCTTTACAGTGTATATACTCATAGCCCACACATTTTTTATATTCAACTAGTTTCAATGTTTAGCTTTCATCAGATACTACTTTGAATTTTCTTTGAGGAAGTACTCCTTCTGGGTACTTACTTTCATTTCTGCTCTGTCAGTTTCATACTGAGACAGTCTGTCTTTCAAACATTTGTATTCACTGATTAATTCCTTGTTTCCTTCCTCCAGCATCAGAACTCGTTTGCTCATGGCTTCAAGTTTTCCCATGTGATCAGGAAACGGCTCTGGGATATTAAGTATTGTCTTTTTACCTCTCGCTTCATTCTGAGCAACTTCCAGTTGCTGTCGAAGCAACATGTTTTCACTTTGTAGCTCATATACTCTCTTTTCCAAGAATGCCTGCTTTCCAATGTATCTGTTGACTTTCCCTTGTTTGCTCTGAGACAAGGGTTCAGTTTCCTTGTTTGAACGCTGGGCTTGGCCTCCGTCTCTATGCACACATTGTAATACCAACGTCATCGGTCTAAGAGCATCTCTCCTGGGATGGAGCTCAACTTCTTGGCCACGGAATTGACGTTCAGCTTCAGGAAGTTGCTGAGGAAGCACCTCGCTGCTACCTTTTGGGTCAGACAGCTCAAAATCCGTTGTGTCCTGTAAGTGAAACCCCTCATCTCTTACTCTTTGAACTGTACGCAATAAACTGACATATCATAACTTCCTTTGAAGTGAAAGACTAATCTCTAAGTTTACACAACAAAAAGTTTGCAATAACTGGGTATCCAACTGGAAAAACTGAAGGTGGATACAAATCTCAAACTTTAAACAAGCAGAAATCCCCAAAAGTTCCAAAATTTAATTAAAGACAGTGAATCCATGAAAAGTAAAACAGAAACCACAAAACGATGTTTAAGAAGCTCAGAACTGGAAAGGCCTTTCTTTCTCTGAAATACAACAAACCCAAAAGGCTTAAAATAAAAAATGACTAAATCTGACTATACTTAAAAATTATATCTGACATCTAACCTTTACAGCTACCCCCAAAGTAAGTGCCTTAGCTCTGTATATATTGGGACAGGTTAAATTTCCTAAAATTTTTTTTCCTGAGAATATTCCATAATCATTCTCCCTTTCTAACATTTTTAGAGCGAGTTATAAGAATTACATCTACGGATAAATGATAAACCTAAGCACTGTACTAAGCACGTCTACAAACATCAGTTAACTCATTTAGCTGTGACAATTCTGGAATAAAGGGTTAAAAACACAAGCAAGCTGCAGGGTTTTCCCCAGGGCTTCTGACTCTCTGACTCTTACACCAAACCAAAGCTACTTCTCTAGGATAAATACATAAACACAAGAGAAGCCTTCTATTTCCCTAATGGTGAATACACTAAAGGTAAAGAAGGTCAAATTTACAGAGCTCTTCTTAGAAAACCAGGAGACTATTTGCTTCTGCAATAATTTTTACTTCTTCTTCATGGTGTTTATAACAGCAATGGATGTGAAACAGCAGGGAAATACAGTGAACTGTTTTACTAAAAATAAAATACTGATCAATAAATTATCACTAAGTATAGATTATGGCATATCTATCACTATATTCAAAAGCTCCTCGTACTGAAATCAGATACCCCATGGAGCAGAGCGTTACTTTTATCACACGTAGGAGAATGACACCCAAACTGCAGTTTCTGAACTGGCTATACTTTTCCCTCCTTACCATCAGTGGAAATGATAAAGTAACCTCTCCATTCGTCTATCAAAGGAGTGAGATCACTGCCAGAAACTAGAATGCCTGCCGTTAGTAGCAACAGTTTTGAAATAATGGAAAGTTCATCGATTCCTACGGACAATATTAACAGCCCCTCCTTGGATGAGGCCATTGTGAATGTTACTACGTCACTGTTGCCGGCAAGTGGATTTGAATTCAAAATATCGCTTTATCCAATAGACCGGAAATGAAACCTCCAGAAAATACATTTAACATACATAGGCTTTTAAAACCCTCTATACTCTCTGTACCTACAGTATTGGTTTTTAAACTACGTAAGTATACAAATTCATACACACACACGTTTGAAGATGACTAAAGAAAATACCTCAGCATTCACTTTCTTATTAGCCTTTTCTGTCTCCTTTTGTTGGGAAAGACAATGGGCCAGGATTTCATCTTGTATTACCCTGGCATTCTGCTCTCGAGAAAGTTGTCTCTGAGCATCATTTCGCTCTTCTGAAACCTGGAGACATAGTTCATTAGGTTTTGGGTTTTATACTATGAAAAAAACTCCAAAAAAAGCTTAGGAGGGGAATCTTTAAAAAAAAAAAAATTTTTTTAAACCTGTTAAAAAGAAGCAGCCTTTCTAAGCACAGGGATCTCTAATGCACAGAAATAACTCAAATTCTAACATACATGACAGCTAAACTCATCACAGAGCAAAAACACAAGGAATCCAGTATTGTGAAAGAAAAAGTTTTTTCACACTTTTTAAATTGAGTTATAGTCATTTTACAATGTTGTGTCAAATTCCAGTGTAGAGCACAATTTTTCAGTTTTACATGAACATATATATATTCATTGTTAACTTTTTTGTTGTCAGCTACCACAAGATCTTACATATATTTCCCTGTGCTATACAGTATAATCTTGTTTATCTATTCTGCATATGCCTGTCAGTATCTACAAATTTTGAAATCCCAGTGACAGAAAATTTCTTTATAAGGCATTTAACCAGTTCCATCATAGTCTCAAGGCAACTTAGGCTGGATTTTAACTTCAAAAAGCCAAAATTCACACATGGATTTGAATTAGACTTGTTATTTTGTTGAATGGACCAAAACCGTCAATCCTTATGTTAATGATTAAGCTCTATTTAACTTCCATTCCTTCATTCAGGAAAGACACAGAGCATCCTGTTAGATGCCGAGAACACCAAGAAATTAGTAAGTTAAGCTCTAAATGTCATGGTTCGTATTTAGAATGAGATAACTTTTATTTGTTTTAAATGAAAATAATAGATTAAGTCAAAAGAATATTATAAATAATATTGATGAAACAGTGTTAGAGATACGAAATTTTCACATTAAGACTAATTTACCTGATTTGGTTTATTCCTTATGCTCTTCAGTTCGCATTCCAGTGCTCGGGCAGTGATTTCGAGTTGTTGGTTCACGGAAACTTGCTCATTGTATTGTTTCTCTTTTCTTTTTAAATCATCCTTAGATTTTTCATATAATATATAAGCATTTTTCTTCTTCTTTGCTTCTTGTTCTAATGTGAATCTGCAGTGAAACATGCTTACCTTAAAATTTATTTTGTTAGAAAATAAAAAGTTCATTTTATGATATGGTTCTTCACATGCTGATTTATTACCCTAATGGCGTTTCTATGTTCTCAACTTTTTTTTCATTTCTGAGTCTCACATTTTAAATTCCTCACTTCAATCTCTTCGTAAAGATAGATCTATACACACACACACACACACACACACACAATTTGAAAAGTAGCAATGAAAAGACATAATGCTACTGAGTTTCAGTCAAGAGTAACTCTGGTCAATAGTGTAGGAAAGAAATTTTGCAATTATTCAGTAAGGTTTGAATTGAAAATTACCCTTTTTTCCACACATAGTCATAAATTACTCCCTCCTTCAGTGGGACAGAGAATTGAGTTACTAGTTAAAAGAGAAGCTATTTAGAAACAAGTTTGAAAGTTCACGAGAGAGAAAATTTCAACTTTCTGAAGTATTCCAGGGACTCCTACATGACCTCCAGCAGAAGGTGACATCCGCAGGCGTCTTTCCCAGAGCACAGACCTGCTAACAAGCATCATCCAAGGCGAGGCTGGGGAGCCTACTCCCTGATGCCCTACACTTTGTTTCTTCTTTTGCAACACTTTGAACTTACCTTGTTGAGTATTATTTATTTAGTAAATCATTTTTAAATCCCTTTTGGCACAAGGCAGGATCCATAGTAAGTAATTAAAAAATAAAGAGTAATCCGTGCTTTCAGCATAGACCTTTGAACTAATCTTCTCTCTGTATGAGAGAGATGCTGAATAAACTAACTAGTGATCACTTTCCACTTTACTTTTTAGTCCATCCGTTCGTATGTTAAGAATCAAACTGCAGAAATTTTTTTTAAAGTTTCTGCCTTGAGAAAAATGGTCATTTCATAATTCTGCAAGTGGGAATGTAAAGTAATACAAACTTTCTGGAGGACAATTGAGAGATAAGGATCAAAGATTTTTTTAAAGAAATATAGAATCAGGAGATATATATATATATTGCTGTGTTATTTCCAAGAGTCTCAAATTCCACAATATTAATGAAATTTTCTCCCCTGTAAAATCCCAAAAGGTAAGTTAGCAATTATAAGACTTCTCCTATATACCTACAGTATTAAAGTAAATATAAAGAGTTCAAATATTTCTTTAAAACCAAGAAACTCAGTACCTCATGCGGCAGAGCTCTCGTTCCCGCTCCACATTTTCAAGTTTTAACTGTGATTTTGCTTCTCTTGTTTTCAGCAGCTCTGTGTGTAGCCAGTTCACCTTATTTTCCATTTCTTTAATTTTTCCTCTAAGTAGTGCACAGTCAGATTCTTTAAGTTCTATTGATCTGAATGAATGAACTGGATCCTGAATTTTCAATAACCTATCAGAATCTGCATTAGGAAGAAAACAAAAATAGAAACAAAATATATGAATAATTTTTGTGTATAAAGGACCGCACTTTCACATTCATTCATCCATACATTGAACAAATGGATAGTGAGCATCTATAACGTGGAAGACATTCTTCTAAGCTCTGCAGATATTAAAAGAATGACAGAGTAATATTATGAACATTATGCAAATAGATTTGACAATTCAGATGAAGTGGGTAAAATTCCTTGAAAGAGAAATTACAAAAGCTCAATTAAGAAAGAACAAATAAGCTAAAAAGCCCTAGATCTTAAAAACCAAAACCAAAGACCTGACGACAAAGAAAATTCCAGTCCCAGTGGTTACACTGGTGAATTCTACCAAGTATTTTAGGAAAATTTGATACCAGTTCTACACAAATTCTCCTCAAAAAACGAAGAGGAAGAAATATGTCCTCATTCTATAAAACTGACATCACCCTGAATCCAAAACCAGACAAAGCTATTACAAGAAAGAAAACTAGTGTCATGAAAATGGAGGTAAACATTCTAAACAAAACATTAGCGAATTAAATCCAACAATACAGGATAATTCATCGTGACCAAGCCGGGTGTATCCCAAGAATGCAGGGCTGTTTTAACACGTAGAAATCAATGTTATTCATCATATTAACAAACGAAAAAAGAAACCATATGATCATATCAGTGGATAAAAAGAGGCACTTGCCAAACCTCAACATCTATTCCTGATAAAAACTTCCAGCAAACTAGGAACCAAGGGAACATCTTCGATATGACAAAGATCTGTGCTAAGCCTTC